ATTCCGCATAGGCCTGAAACCTGATTTTTCCACATCCGACCACTACTAAGCGAGTTATCGGCCGTTTCCTGTTTGACGGGAGACCCGATTATATCCCGTTTATCCACTTTGTTAAAGGACGTATTGCAAAATTTGCTTTGCAGAGGGCGTCTATTTTAATTGGCCTATAACTTTCTTCCGGGTGGTGGCAAATCTTTTAACAGACTATCGCGTGATGAGCTAAAGAAAGTTGGTGTGTGTCAACAATTTGAGGGAGTCCAAGTTATTTTGGGTGTGGTGTCATTATTTCAAGTCGCATTGAAATTTTTTTTATCAAAAACTGACAATCATTCAAAAGGCTTTTTGACGGCAGTTTAATTTTCTGACGCGGCCTATTTGTGATGACGTCATGGAACCAAAAATTTGGTGCGTCGTCCTGTAAAGGCGTCTTTGCTATTTGCCCCGTTACCGCGTTATTCCGGGATCTATCGAAAAACGTTTTTTAACAACAAATGTCGCAAATTTCGCGACGTTTCTGATGAATGACGATGTTTTGCGAGTTTGAATTCCCTTGATTAACCATCGCGTTGGCTCCGCGCCAGTGTTTCGGCTCCTATTGAGAAACTTGTTAAACAAAAAACAAGGGAAATTCAACGGACTTTCTCGGCAAGTTTTTGCTGGGACAATCGGGCGATTGAGTTTTGAGTTATGCGATGGAGAAGCTGGATGAGTGAAGTTTGGAGGGCGTCTTTGTCACGGAGTGTTAGTTTGTGCGCTAACGCTCCTGGTGATGGCCGTATGCAAACACGTGCTGATTTAAAACGCTGGAGAAACCAGTCAGCTTCGCCCAGGAGTTTTTGGTGTTGACGTCGCCCCATCAGTTGTGGAGTTATGCGCTGCAGAAGGTTGATGATTGGATTCTTTTAGGCGTTGTAGTTGTTCGTCTCACTGCGCCCTTATTCGGGGGCGGAGCGAAAATGGGCGTAGCACACGTGTGACGAATTTGCCAGGCATTACGATCCTCGTTGAATTTCAAGAAACAGGGATTCGGGAGGTATGGGCAAAAGAAATGGGGAAACTTCAAGTTGAAAACGGGCTCCAATTGTTGCTTCCGAGCTTGCGCGCTTGGTTGCGCCGCTCCACTTTTTCACCCGAAACCGCATGCAAAACCAGCTTTTCCCGACTTTTTCTAGTTTTTCCTCCGGTCCAGTGTTTTTGGGGTTGCAAACCACTGCCCATGTTA